CAGGGAGGTGCAGGGGAGTGTCCCTGCAACAGGGACAGGCAGGTCGAGTAGAAATGTGGGGGTTTCGAGAAGGGGCTAATGCTTAAAGAGAATGGATGGAAGCGTGTCAGGAAAAGTGCGCGGGATAGCAAGTGTGCAAAAGCTGAACAAAGGCAGGTGTGCTCCGGAGAATAAGTATGCGTGCACAGAGTGTGGGAGGGGGTGGGGGAAGGGGTGTCCCAAGTGTGTCTGCAGCAAGGGTTTAGAGATTTTCAGAAGTGAGGTGTGCACGGGAGGGCACCAAGGACAAGAGTCTGAGAGAGTAAAGGTATGGAATGTGGCAGAAGAGAAGAAATGCAAATGTGGGCTAGGGAAAGGGGGGGGGGTGGGTGTTTGAGCGCTGAGAGGGCCTCGCGAGCCGGAAGCGAAGGCGGAGTGTGCAAGACAGCGAGAGGGCAAATTTGTGCAAAATTGTAGCCCGGGGAGGAGAGAGAGGCAAGCAGGCGTGCAAAGGGGCGTGCAAGAGGCCGGGGTGGGGGGCTGCTGTGTGTGTGTGTGCTGGGGAGGGGGGAGGGTGGGGAGAGCCCAGGGGCCTGGAGAGGGGGGGAAGGGTTGTTAGAGGAGCGGCAGGTGGTGGAATCTGAGGGCACCCCCTTCCCCTGCGGCCGGGGACAAACCCCATCCAATCAGGCTCAGGGCTGACCCCCTATGGCTCTGTCTGTTCCCCCTCCCCAGAACCGACCCTTCCCTCCTTCTCCATCCCCCTCTGCGATTTCCTCCATCACCACCACCCCCCCTCCCCCCTGCTCCCTGCTTCACACACAGTCTTGTGTCAGCTGCCCCCTCCTGTGAGGTGCAAATGTCTGGCCGGGGATCTGGCCGCCCGGTGACCTCCGGCCTTGGGAGACAAGGGCAGGGCAGGGCGCAGTTCTAGCAGAGTCCCTGGCCCAGGGGAAGATAATGACGGTCAGGGGTCAGAGGTCAAGAGGCCAGTAGGCTCAAGGGTTCTGTGGACGGGCTGGTCCGTCCAGGCCAGCCATCACCTCTCCAGGAAAAATTTGAGAGCCCGGTCGATGTTCATGCGGTGGCCCACCCTGGTCACGCCCAGATCGACGTAATCCTCCTTGGTCAAGGCGGGCAGATGCGAGCCATCGATCTCGTGGTCCAGGAACTGTGCTCGGTGCTCAGCCAAGCCCAGCCACTCGAGCCAATCAGCCACGTCGAACTTGGTCCAGAACCCCAGAGGTTTAGCGCCGAAGGGCTTGTCCGGGGGCAGCGAAAGCAGGCGGGTTGGTGAGAGGGAGCGGGAGGCCCCTGACAAGGCTCCACCAAGCCCCCCGGACATCCCGGGGTGTGGTGGCACAAAGACGGGGGCGAAAGGGTCAGCGGAGCCTCCTGCCCCTCCGGTTGGGGAGCCACGGATGTCAAAGAGGCCCGGGTACAAGGGTCCAGAAGGCAGGATGGGCAGGGACGAGGGCCTGGGCGCAGGGCTGACCTTGTGCTCCGAGGCGGGCAGCAGTGAGGGGCTGGGGGCCCGGCGGAGCAGAGGCGGCCGCATCTCGAACTCCACGCCCTGGAGGTGGCGGGTGGACGTGGAGGAGGAGGCTGAGGGTGACGTGGCCCCCGGAGCTGCAGCGGCGGAAGGGGAGACCCCAGTTCCCGTGGGGAGTGGCGGCAGAGGTGGTTTGGGCCAGTTCTGAAACAGGCTGCTGACGGGTTTGGAGAGGAGCGAGGGCTGGGAGTCTTCGGAGAGTCTGGAATGTGACAAGGGGGCAGGGGCGGAGGCAGGGGGTTTGGAGGGCAGTGGCGGGGTGAGAAAGAGGCAGGGGTCAAGACACCGGGGAGAGAAGAGACACCGGAGCCAGGGCGGAGAGATGGGAAGAGATAGAAGGGGCGACGGGGGCAAGACAGATGGCAGGACAGAAGTGAAGGGAGAGAAGAACGAGAGGTCAGGGAGAGGGTGACAGTCAAGAGAGATGAAAGAAAAAGAGACATTAAGTGCTAATAATAATAATCGCCACCACTCACTGATGCTCACGTGTGCCAGGCATTGTTCCAAGTGCTTTACAGATCGCATCTCAGTTTATTCCCCAGGACAACCCTGATGCAGGTTACTATGATTACCAACAGCACAGAGAGGTTAAGCAACTTGCCTAAGGACACACAGCCAGGAAGTGGCAGAGCCCGGTTATATGGCACCGAAGTCTGAGCTCTTAACCGCTACTCTATACTGCCTTTTGGGGGTATGGCCAGTCACAGCAGAGTGGAAGACAGGGAGACGGTGAGAGGGGAACAAAAAGAAGGTGAGCGTTCAGGGGAGAGAGATGGAAGGGGACAGGGGACAGAGAAAGGGGGGGAGAGATGAGGAGAGGGAGATGAAAGAGAGAAGAAACAAGGGGAGAAAAAGGTTCCCCTCATCCCTTTCGCTCCCTTCGGGGACAGTCCTGCCTCAGGGCCTTTGAACTGGCCTAACTCACTTCCCCCCCAGGTGGCCATGTGATCTGCTCCCTCCCGTCCTCTAGTTTCTGTTCTTCTAGCTGGTTATTTGAGAGGCCTTCTCTAACCATCCCCCATCCCTGCCTCCTGGGGGGGGGGGCAAGGGACAAGCTCCCTGAGGGCCAGGCTCCACCTGTCCTGTCCACTGTGGGGTCCCCGTCACCCAGAAGGGCACCCAGCACTATCACCCAGCAGGTGATAGTCAGTGAGGCACCCGTCGACTGAATACAGCGTCCTCTCCTCTACCCGGAATACTTAAAAAGAATCAACAGGTTGCCCTGGGATCTCAAAGGCCTGGTAAAACCACACTCAACTATCACCAAAAGGGGATCGGACCCTCAGAGTTCAAGTGAGCTCTGCAGATGGACAAGGGCAAGGGTTGGATTAAGAAACCTCTCGTCACTCCCTCCGTGGGCCCGATTCAGGAATGTGACTCCACTTTCCCTAAGACTGGGAGCTCCCAGGGACGAACTGAGCTCCTTAGTTCGAACGAGCTCGAACTCGGTGGTGATCCTAGCTAAGCTAGCTGCCTTGGGAAACTTGCGCACGATCCCGCAGTTGTCCGGTTTTACTCACGCTGGGCTCTGGTGAGAGGCCCCTCCCCTCCCCCCTCTCGTGTTCTAACCACAGCCCACAAGCAATCGTCTCAAAAACCCTTTTAGGTGGGTACTCTCCCGTCCCCCTTCTACGGAGGGGTGGACGCCTTTGCCTAAGGTCACGCAGTTGGGAGTCAGGGGCTGAGACCCAAGCCCAAGAAGCCCGGCTCCAGGACCGCACTCCAAACACGCTGCCCCCTAAAAGCATCTTATTTTGAGCCGCACCGGGTTCAAGGGACTCGAAGACTTCGGGGACTGTCAGAACTGACAACCCCCCATGAAAACGAGACATCGGCAAGTCGTGCTCTGGTCTCTTTTGTCAGTAACTTTTTTTGTTCCTCATGGGATGTGGGTTGCCACGGTGATGGGAAGAGACCACAAAAGCTCCTGAGATAAAGTATCTGTGAAAGCATGCTTCTCTGGGGACAGACTTCGGCAAGCCAGCCTGGTTTCTGTGTTCTCTCTGCCACCTGGGACCCTCAAAGGACACAGCTAGGGGGAAGGGAGACCCTGCTGCCCACAGCATCGGCCCCTCTGGCCTCCGTCACCAACCAGCCGCCCCCCCCCGCCCCCCTGCTCACCTCTGCCGCTGCAGGGAAGAGGTCCTCTCGGGGACGTAGCTGGCTCCCCCGTGGTGGCTGTCCCCGCTTCCCCCGCTGCCTCCCCGGGCCCAGGGCAGAGCGCCACCAGCTGCCGAGGAGCCCCCAAATTGCTGAAGCTTGGAGCTGAGTTCACTGATGATGCTGGCTTTTACTGTGGCCAAGGCTGAGGCCTGAGGCTGGGCCAAGGGCCCGGGCAGGGGTGGTGGCGGTGGGCCCGGGCCCTCCTCCCAGGGCAGCAGCTTCCGAGGCAGAGAAGAGGCTGATGGCAAGGGCACGGGTGGGCCTTCTGGCTCTATAGCCACCGGACCCCCGGCCATACCCGCCGATGAGGGTCCTGTGCAACCGCTCAGGGCCAGCAGCCCATCCGTTCCAGCCCCCGTCACGGAGACTGTGGGGCTGGTGGGAGTGACAGGGTCCCGGAGTCCCCCACTAGGGCCGGGCCGCAGGCCTCCGCTGGTCCCCAGAGCCCGGCCCCGGAGCTTGGAAGGAGTCATGAGCTGCGGGGGGTACGGTGGCCCGGGAGCACCACTCCCCCCGAAGGCCTGGCCGTCCAGGTAGGCCACATACGTGTCCAGGAGCTCCGGCCCACTGGCCACACCGGCCCCGCCGCCGCCGCCGCCGCCGCCGCCGCCGCCTCCGGCGCTGCCACCGCCTTCGGCAGACAGGCTGCTCAGTGTGGACGCGCTGCTGATGGTCTCCAGCGGGTGGTCACTGCTGCTCCGACTGTCCACCTCCTCGATACCAGAATCCGTGCCAGGCGGCGGGTCGGGGCCAGGCTGTGGGGCCGGGGGAGCCGGGGCGGCCGGGGCCGGCGGGCCTGGCGGAGGGGGGTCCCCGGGAGCCACGGGGGCCCCCTGGGTCAGTGTGGCCACCTCGCTGTCATAGGAAGTCAGGCTGGACGCCGTGGAGTCCAGGGTGGGGGGCGCGGCGGCCACGGCGGGCGGCGGCACGGGGGGCAACGGGGTGGTTGGGGTGGGGGGATCCGGCAGCGGGTGGGGAGGCCCGGGTGTGAGCGGCGACTCTGGCTTCTCGAAGCTGTTGGAGAACTCCAGAGGCGGGGGCAGCGGTTCCACAAAGAGGAATTCGCCGTCTTCCACGTCCACCGAGGGAGCGGGGGGCGGCAGGACCAGCAGGGGGAGCCCGTTCTCTTCGCCGCCCCGCGGGGAGGTGGGCGAGGGCGGCACGGACCGGCGCGGGCTGGGAGGCGGAACCCCCGGCCCGTCCTCCGAGGGGGGCCCCCTTCCGCCCGCGCCGCCGCCGGCTCTGGGCTGGCAGTTCTCGAGGAACCGCACGTGGAGGGGCAGCCGTTCCGGCTCCTCGGGGGCCCCCGACCTCCACGCCTTGCTCACCCCGGGGTGCGGGGCCGGGGGCTCGGGCCCCAGCTGCAGGAGGAGGGGCCCGACCCCGGGAGCCGTGGGGGGCAAGCGGTGCAGCAAGGAGCGTCGGGCCGCTGGAGGGCTGGCCGGAAGGGACTTCTCCTGGCTGCCCAGCCCTGCCCGGTACCCCAGCTCCCGGCGGGCGGGGTCCGGCGGTGAGGCCCCCCAGAGGCGCAGCACCGGCTCGTGGTGGGCGTGGGGCGAGTGGTGGTGCGGGGTGGGCGGCGGCGCCTCGTAGCGGGGCGATGGGGGCCTTGGAGGGGGCTGGGGGGGCCCGCCGCCCTCCGAGGACTCCTTCAGCGCCCGCTCTCGGGCGGCCAGGGCCAGCCCGAGCGGGGAGGCCGGGTCCAGGGCCTTGCCGGTCAGCGGGTGGACCAGGGGTCGGGGCGGCAGGAAGCTGGTGAAGGCGCTGCTGCCCCCGCTGCCCGCGTAGGCTCGGCCCCCGGCCCCGTAGCCCCCGTACCCGACGCCGCTCCCCGCGCCGGCGGACTCCAGCCGGAGGTAGGGCTCGGCGGAGAACATGCCCTCGTCGATGGATTTGGAGTGGCGCAGCCGGGGGCCCGGGGGCGCCCCGGGGCCCAGCCCGCCGTCGCCGCCGTCCTCGTCCCCCGCGTCGGTGGAGAGGAAGAGCGTGGACCGCCGGCGGGCTTCGTTCTGCCAGCCGCCTTCCCTCCGCGCCGCGCCCACCAGGGCCGCTCCGAACTGGCTGGTGAAGTCGAGGGTGGCCGGGCCGCTGGGCGAGCTGGGGGTGGGCACCGGCGAGGGCGACGGCGGCACCGGCGACATGGCCGGG